TTGGGAAGGGAGCTAGCCGGCTGTGTTATGTTTATATTATCCCATTTTATGCTCAGTTTGGAGAGACCCTTTGGAGAATCCACCATTTCCTGCATGAGGCCTTAGATTCTTGGACACTTTTTCTGTGTCACAGACAACAGACTAGCAGTATTTTCTATTGCTTTTTTAAGATGCATAGAATTTGCTTGCCCAAGGTAAACTGTGTTTTATCCCAAAGCGGGGAGAACATACAAGGCTTCCAATTTTTGTTAAAAATCTCTTTCTTCAGGGGGCTCCTGGGTGGCTCAGTTGTTAAGCGCGGGCCTTTGGCTCAGGTCATGATCCCAGGGTCCTGGGATCGAGCCCCGCATCGGGCTCCCTGTTTGGCGGGAGGCCTGCTTCTCCCTCTCCCATTCCACCTGCTTGTGTTCCCTCTCTCGCTGTGTCTCTCTCTGTCAAATAAATAAATTAAATATTAAAAATAAAAATCTCTTTCTTCAAAACTTAATTTTGTTTCCTGTGTTTCTATTGAAAACAAGAGTTTAGGGAGAAACACGTTCCTTCAGTTTACCGAGTGAGGTGAGCTGTGAGCAGATTTGATCATGAGCTTGCCTTTTGTGCCCCAGGAAAGGTATGAAAAAGGATCAGAACACATCTGTCCCACTCTCCCCTTCCCTCACCTCACAGAAGAGCAAATGGTTGTTTTCTGTGCATGCAGACTATGAGATGGCATGGTGGGTCCACCCTCAACTCCCAGCAAGTCACTCCACCTTTGGAGTCTAGGACTACAGGGACAGTCAAAGAATCTCACCCTCAGCAGGGAGCTGAATGCAGCACGGGGGTGTATTTAGTATGTCAACATTGGTCCCAAACTTGAACAGGGCATATATTAAAACACACAAAAACACTGCTCTTGTATAAACGTATATGCTGTTAAATGTTAAATAAAAGATGTCTGATTTTATTCTGTTATTTTGATTGGCCTTTTGTGCTCACAATGTTATTTGACTTTTCTCACGTCTTTTGACTCATGCCCTTGAGTATAACTTGGCCTTTTCTGGCAGCAGTTAATCTGTGAGGCCACTTATATGCCTTACTGTGATGAATGCATGCATTATATATCATGAGAAGCTGTTGGTATCATGCATTCTCTTGACATTTCTGTGCAGTAGGGGAGGAAAAAGATGGGCTGCCATTTCAGTTTTAATTCAGTTGTGTTAACAAATAATCTTGGAGTGTGGAAAGCCTTCCTAAGCCTGATGCAAAACTCAGAAGCTATAACCCTAACTGTGTGTTGTGGAAATAGAAAAGATGTCCAAGATCTATTATAAAATGGAAAATAAAAGCTCAGTTTCCTAACACACTGTGTAATACATCTTTTATGGTTAAGTGTTTACGTGGGGTGCCTGGGTGCCTCAGTTGGTTGGGCGTTCAGCTGTTGATTTCAGCTGGGGTCATGATCTCGGGGTCCTGGGATTGGCCTACATTGGGCTCTGCACTCAGTGGGGAGTCTGCTTGAGGATTCTCTCTCCCTCTCCCTCTGCTCCTCCCCCTGCTGGTGTACACTGTCTCTCTCTCTCTCTTTCAAATAAATAAATTTTTAACAACAACCACAACAAAATAAAAGTATTTACATATACATACTTAGAAGTCTGGAAGGATGTTAAAAATGAAAGTACAGGGGCACCTGGCTGGCTCAGTTCATGGAGCATGTGACTTGATCGGAGTCGTGAGTTCCAGACCCACGTTGGGTGTGGAGCCTATTTAAAAAAAAGAAAAAAGAAAGTATACATTAACCCACATTTTCTTGAGTCATCAAACGCTAATTACTTCGAATGGATGTGAAGTTTCCAGAGTTTAGCTGAGAGATGTCATATGCGTTGTTGCTTGTCCAGGCCTTCCAATTCCAAGGCTAATGTAGGAGCACTTTCTCAGGCCCCTAGAGTGGTAGTCTTTATTGAATAATTTTGTGGACTGGTATGGCACTCAGTCTTTTTCTCATTTATTCTCATTTAATCCTGAAAACAAACCCAAGGAGTTTCTATTACCAACTCCATTTATGATGCTCAAAGAGTCATAGTAATTTGCCCAAGGTCACTCAGATAGGAAGTGCTTATAAAATTTAGAAAGCCAAACTAGGGCGCCTGGGTGGCTCAAGGTGGTTAAGCGTCTGCCTTCGGCTCAGGTCATTATCCCAGGGTCCTGGGATCGAGTCCCGCATCGGGCTCCTTGTTCGGCGGGGCATCTGCTTCTCCCTCTTCCTCTGCCTCTCCCCATGCTTGTTCTCTGTCTCTCTCGCAAATGAATAAATAAAATCTTAAAAAAAAAAAAAAAGAAAGCCAAACTAGATGGTACTATCTCATCAACAGAAAGAAAATGTTGTTTAAGTCAAATCAGATTATTCCTGGTTCTTTTTTTTTTGGGTGCAAAAAGGGTGGTTTTATTATAGCATGGGGACAGGACCTCTGGGCAGAAAGAGCTGCCAATTCCTGGTTCTTTTAGACTTTTCCACCTCTGTGCCTTTGAATCCATGCGTCCCTCTGTTCTGAGGGGCCTCTTCCTTCCAGGAACCTTGTCTGTGCTTCATGGCCTAGCAAAAATGCTTCCTACCCCGGGAAGCCCTCCGTGATTCCCACCACTGGGAAGTAACCTTTTATACTCCTTACACATCTTACTTTCTGCCCTCAAGACATGTTGCTTTTCACAGTGGCCACTGATAAGTACATTCCTCAACTCTTGCAGGTTGACTATGAGCACCCACTAGGTATTGATGTGTAATAATGCTGCTTAGGTTTTATAAAGGCAGTTTAGAATGAAACTGCCCAGTAGCCTGGTGTCCAGCCATCTTTGTGTGTGTGTGTGTGGGGGGGGGTGTGTGTGTGTGGGTGTGTGTGTTTCTTGGGGTAGGGAACAGGGGGAGAGAGAGAGAGAAAGGGAAAAGGAGAGAGACTCATTTAAGACCACGGCAGGTCTCAGAAAAATCTCTATGAAAATGCACTCAGATTAAAACTTTTTTTTTTTTGCCATAAAAGTAACAGATTTTCAGATGTTTTTCTATTGTAATCATTATTCAAAAATTTTCTTTTTTTGGACGCCCGGGTGGCTCAGTTGGTTGAGCGACTGCCTTTGGCTCAGGTCATGATCCTGGAGTCCCGGGATCGAGTCCCACATCAGGCTCCCTGCTGAGCAGGGAGTCTGCTTCTCCCTCTGACCCTCTTCCCTCTCGTGCTCTCTATCTCTCATTCTCTCTCTCTCAAATAAATAAATTCTTTAAAAAAAAGAAAAAAATTTTTTTAAAAAAAGATTTTTAAAATTTAATTGAGATTTTAAAGATTTATTTATTTGAGAGAGAGAGAGCACAAGCAGGGCAGAGGGGCAGAGGGAGAGAAGGAGGCTCCCCGCTGAGCAGGGAGCCCAATGCGGGGCTGATCCCAGGCCCTGGAGATCATGGCCTGGGCAACAGGCAAACACTTAAGGGACTGAGCCACCCAGGCGCCCCTGAAAAAAAATTTCTTTTCATATGATAGAGTCAATAGATTGTTTTTGTAGTCTTGTACAAAATAGGTAAACCCTAGGCTGTGTGCCTCTGATACTGGATGGACAAAGTACACCAGCCTAGTGCTCCCACGCTGGTTGCCTGAAGAACTGGGGGTTCCCTTATAACCCCTACTTTTGCCTGGCACGTCCTTTCTATGGTGGCCTCTAACCCCCTTTCTTCCTACACCCCACTTACCAATCTTTTAAAGATTCAACCAGGAACAAGACTGCCAAGATTCTCCCCTCCTAAAAGTTACTTTTCGGTGACAAGAGACCTGTAAGTAAACACATCAATAGTAGGATCATTTCAGGTAGCGATGCAGGGTATGAAAAAATAAAACCAGGCAATAGGCTGTGGAACCTCTACTTTAACAAGGCCGGTATGACAAGGGCTCTGTGCTTACAGGCCATTTGAGCAGAGCCTTGAGAGTTGAGGAGGAGGAAGATTCCACACAGAGAGAGTACTGTGAGGGTAAAGGCCCTGGGGCAGAGAAGAGCTTGGTGTCCTGGGGAAACAGCAAGAAGGCCAGTGTGACTGGGCAGCACAAGCCAAGCAGAGGACGGCGTGAGATGAACAGAGGACGCGGGCCCAGATCCTGCAGGGACTGGTAGGCTGTAATGAGGAGGTCAGCTTTTAGTTCAGAAGTGACGGCTGTAAAGCCACCTTGCTTTGCAGGAGCGCGCTGTGGCAGCTCCTGAGGGGTGGTGCCCTGGCCGGCTTCTGCACGCCCTGGTGGCTCCTGTCCTTGCCACCAACATCTGGAGGGTCGGTTTTGCCTCTGTGCGGTCACCGCTCGTTTGCGTGGCCGCTTCCTCCGGGGTCTGGAGCCGCAGGCAGGGGTGACGGGGACGCCTCGCGGCGCAGGTTAACGGGAGGCCGGGCGGCCCAACCCGCGCGGCCACGCGGGTTCTGGCCGGGGGAGGTGGGGGCTGGCACGTGACGCAGGCGGCCAAACGTGGCCCCGGAGTGTGCTCCCCGGGATAGGTGCGGGGCCGCCACCCTGGCCGGGGTGTCCCGTCCCGCGCTCCGGTTCGCTGGCGGCCTCTCGGGCGGGCTGGCGGCCGCGTCAACAGGACGCTGTCCCCGAAGGGCAGCGGGCCGCAAGAAGGGCCTGCTAGCCTCGCCACTTGCAAGTTTTTTCTTGGGGCTCGGAAGCCCAACTTGCCCATCCGAGAAATGGGACTCTGAAATAAACAGATGGGGGCGCACTCTGCCAACTTGGACATTTTATTCTTTCTCTACGTCCCTACCCACTTTGGAGCCCAAGGGGCTGGAGCAAGCGGACTGCCACCCCAGACACCCAGCGTCCCCGACGGGCGGTGGCCCGACTTAATTTTGCGTCCCCTGAGGCCGGGAAGCGCCTAAAAAACCCCCGCGGGGCGCGGTCGCTGGGTCGAGTCACGTGACTCTCGCTCGACGCCCCGCCGGGGGAGAGCAAGCAAGTGCGCATGCGTACCTTTTATCCACCCCCCCCCCCCGCTCCCCCCGTTGGTTTGGACGCAACCACTGTGAGCTCCTCCCCCACCTTTTCCTCCTTTTCCATCCTTCCTGACACACGCTCCCTTCCCCCGCCCATTGGTTACGTCAGGCAGACAGGACGGTGAGCCAATCACGGTGCTGCGTTCAGAGGCCGGCACGCGGAACCGGTCGGATCGGACCAATGAGGGCGCTCGGAGCGGGCGCGCCCCAACCGGGCAGGGGAACCGAGGCCGAGTGGGCGGTGCTTCACCAGTCAGCATGTGGGCGGGGGAGGGCGGGGACCGGCAGCCGCAGAGGCGTCGACGGCGGTAGCGACGACGACGTTCCTCAGTGTTCGGGGTGGGCTCGGCGGTGCAGGCCGTGTTGCGCGGAGGGTTTGGCGGTCAGCGGCGGCGGCCCTAGAGGGGCCGCGGCGCCATGGGCAGGCGATAGACGGGCTCGGGCCGGCGAGGCGAGGGGCGGCGGCGGTCGTCCAGGCCGCGGCGACCTTCGGCGGGGCCCGGGGGTGGGGAGGCCCGGGGCGGGGGTCGTCCCGGACAGCGCGGGGCCGCGGGGCGGGTCTCGCAGGCCGTCGGGGTGCAGGAGGCCTGGGCCGCCGCGAGGAGCTGCCGCCGGCCGCTGGGCCCCGCCGCCGGGCCGCTCGACGACGACGCTCCCGCGGGGGCCCCGCCTGAGGAGGACGCGGCGGCGGCGGCGGCGAGGCCGCGGGAGGCCGCGGAGGATGGAGGAGCGGAAGGAGGAGGGCGAGGCCGAGATCCAGGAGCACGGGCCGGAGCACTGGTTCTCCAAGTGGGAGCGGCAGTGCCTGGCTGAGGCCGAGCAGGACGAGCAGCTGTCCCCCGAGCTGCAGGAGGAAGCGGCGGCCGCCGCGCAGCCTGAGCACAAGCAGCAGAAGCTGTGGCACCTCTTCCAGAACTCGGCCACCGCCGTGGCCCAGCTCTACAAAGGTGAGGCCCGCCGCCGCCATCTTGCCGCTGTCGCCGCCCCGCTGCCGACGCCGCCTCGGGGTCTGCGGGTCGGCGGGGAGCCCCGAGGGCGGCCGTCCGCCCACCCGCCCGCCGGGCCGGGCCGGGCCGGGCCGCCGCGCCACAACCGCCCCGCCGCCCCCTCCCCACAAGATGGCGGCGCGGGGGGCGGGCCCGGCGGGCAGCCGCGGCAGAGAGGGGGGCCGGCGCTGGGGGCGCCCCCGTTTGGGGCCGCTCTCGGGGGCCCGCCCGCTGCTGGGGCCCGGCTGCCGGCGCCCCCGGGCCGGGAAGACAGGGGAGGGGCCCCCGGTCACAAAATGGCGAAGGGAGGCGGCGAGGCCGGCCCATTGTGCCCGGAGCGGGCCTCGGGGCGGAGACTGGGAGGGGGCGCTTCCATCGGCCGCGGTCGGTCCTGGGGCTGCGCCTCTGGGCCTCGCGGCTCGCCCTGGCCCCCGTCGCGACCCCCTTTCTGCAGTCCTCACACTTGAGAGTGGGATCCTGAAGCCCTGGAACAAAATGGCGAAACCTAATATGGCCGTTCCGGAGTGATTGACGCCCAAATAACAAATTTCTCTCTCTCTCTGTTTCTGTCTCTCTTTCTGTGTCTTTTGTGTTTGTTTTTTTTTTTCCTCCCTCCCTGCTTTTTCAGACCGAGTGTGTCAGCAGCCAGGACTTTCTCTCTGGGTCCCCTTCCAAAACGCAGCCACCGCCGTCACCAATCTCTACAAAGGTAAAGATAACCTTGCTGCATTGTCGGCTAAGAGGAAGGGCAGCCTGCGTCAGGGTTTGAGCCTTGCGCCGCGAGGGTATTAGACACCCTTTCCCGGATTTAGACTGCCGGAGCCTTTGCTGCTGCGGAGTCCAGCCACCAAGTGCCCCGGGTACTTCGTTGGTTGAGAACTCCCGGGGTGGTCTAGCTAGATCCTGCATCTCGGTCGGGGCGTTTGACCCCTCCCACCCCCCCGACCTCCCCCCCGGGCACGTTTGACACTGGGGGTAGTTTTGAATGTCATCCCGAAGAGGGGGCTGCTGAATATCCTGCCTTGCACAAGGCAGGCTTCCCCGCCCCAAATGCCAGTAGTGCGGAGGTTGAGAAGCCCTGAGCTGGGAGACGAGTGAGGCGTGTTTCTTCTCACTGGAGAGGGCACCCAGGGAAGAAGGGGGTTTATGGTGCCACAGACAGAGGTGAACACCTCCCAGAAGAGTCTTTGAGTTAGGCGGTTTAGACCAAGGTATTTTCGTAGCATTTAAGTGCGTTGAAAACTAGCTGATTGGAATAAACCGTGCACATTAACATACTGTTCTTTCCTAGCAACTTCAAATACTTGCTTTCAAAACTACGGCATATCTGAGTGTTTAGTGTTGGCAGGAAATGTGTGATCAGAGTTTGCATTGATAGATTTGTGTTTTATGGTAGCGTCTTTCTGGAGCTAATCCTGTCCCCTCCCCTTGACATGAAGTTATGTCAGTGAATGTTCTTGTTCATTGTGCTCTCTAATCATGGCTTTCGATTTTGTGTCTTAATGATTTTGAAGATTTGGAAATTTGGATTTGATACTTCTTTGGGGCAAGGTTTCTATGGAGAAAGGATTTGAATTTGACTGTTAATCTTAGTAAAAATGTAATTAAATGCTTTCAAACTTGGAGAAGCTGCGCATAACAGTAATGGTCTTTATGCATTTCAAAATGATCAAAACAGGTTAAAACACAGGCTGTGGAGCGACTTCTCAGATTCTTTTGCGTAAGAATGTGCAAATGATGGTAGCATTCTATAGGAGAAATAATTCCTTATTGTGAGATGTCTTGGGTGGAATTTGCAGTTTTTTGGGATAGTAATTTGAAAACATAAAGTGAAACTGGTGAATAGAATGTTGATTTTAGGGAAGGAGGAACTCAATCTACACCTGGGAGAATGGGGAAACACAGATGGTGCCCCAGTGGTCAACTTTGATTTTATGTAGCTGAGTTTCTTAAATTTTGACTCTTGAGTAAATTATTCTAACATCATCAGTGCTTGAGGGTCTTCAGCATTGTCTGGATTGGCTCTTGGTTTCATCCAGACAATTTTGAATAATGTTTAAAACTTGTTTTGGGGGGCCTGAGTGGCTCAGTCAGATAAGCATCTGCCCTTGGCTTAGGTCATGATCACAGTCCCACGGCAGGCTTCTTGCTCAGCGGGGAGCCCCCTTCTCCCTCTGCCTGCTGCTTCCCTGCTTGTGCTTTCTATGACAAATAAAATATTTTTAAAAAGTTTTAAAAACTCATTTCTTGGAGTATAATTTGGATACTGCATAATCACCTTTTTAAGAATCATAGTTTGAATTTGACAAACATACTGTGAAGACATAGAGCATCTACCTCCAGCCCAAGCCCCTGGCACCACTGATGTAATTGCCGTATATATATATGGTTTCCTGTTTCCATAAGGTCTTGAATACGTACAGCTTTATGGCACAGTTTTTTGGGCCTGGCTTCATCCACTTCCCATGTTTCTGAGATTGATCCAAGGAGTTCATGCTGCAGGTGTTAATAAGCAGCTCAGTGTCCATTTTGGCCCTCTCCCCCACCCCAACCTTTTTTTTTTTTCCTGAGTAGCATTCTGTTGCCTGTGGGGTGCTACAGTCTGTCCATTTGTTTGTTGCAATTGATTTTTGCTTGAAGTGGGGGATGGCACCATTTTTGGTGGCTTTTGGATGCCTCTCTTTGCCGAGGCCATACAAAAGTAGGAACATTTTTTAGATTTTCTGTTTAATTTTTGGTTCTGTTGTGTACTGTTACAATGTATCTTTTTAGGACTAAAGCTGACAGTTTTGTGTAGCCTTTCACCTAAGAAGATGGTTTCAGAAGCTAAACTCTGAAATCCCAAATTGGATCGCTTGGTTTGAAATTGCTTTTTATAATTTATTAGTTTTCTTTGTTCAGAAGATTTAATGAGAGACATTTTTAAAAAAATAAAAATCACATGTTCTTGTTATTGCAAATGTGTTAGATTGTTAGAACTGGTTTTATTTTATATCCTATTTTTGTAAAAGTTAAATGCATCCTTTTTTACCTGGTAGGAAAGGTAAGTTGTCGTTTGTGGAATTTGGTAGTGTAGCAACGTACTCAGATTATCTGAGCAGATACACTCACGTTGCTCTTTCTCAGGGTGAAGTCTTTGGAGAACAGGACTACAGCTGTAGGAATAATTAGATACCTTAAATAGAACCAGTACAGTAAGCAAGGTAGTGTCACCAGTGCCTGCAGCCTTAAGTAGTGGTAAATCTAAGTCATTGTTCATAGCTCTGATTAAATATTTACATGTAATTTACAAGGGGAGATTTGTAGGGCTTTCTTTAAGTGGGCAGTGCTTCTCTATTTTGTCTGATTAAATGCTTATCTGGCAAGCTAAAAATGGCTCATTTTGCAGACTGGGGAGAGGTTCTTGATAACTACAAAAAGGAACACAGGGGAAGTTCAGAATGGAGGTAAAAGCCTAGCTGACGGCCCCTTTTGATTGCTCATGGGCTTTTTAAAAGTTGAACACTCAGTTATTTGGTTTGGCTGGAAGGATTTAGAGGAGAGTGAGTTGTCCCTCACTGTGGACAGAATTCAGCAAAATGAAGTGTGTGGTTCCTTCTACTCCCTGTTGTAGGGCCAAAGTTTGGTATTCTCTTTTGGAAAGGGGAGGAGAAAATCTTGGTTGCTGGTTCTTGTTTCTACCTTGATTTGGTAAATCTAAAGAGGGTGATGTTTGTTTAGGTTTCATTTATGTTCTCTTCCTGGCCTAGTACATTTTTTGATATCTGTGACTGAAGAGGGGAGTGAAAAGTTACTGAGGTTGTTTTACTTTAGCCTGGGTTCATGCTTACCTGGGAAATAATTGGCCACACTTAGTGGTTTGCTTTTTAAAGCCCCTTCCTTGCATTTTCCTGGGTGCCAATTGTTATCTCTGTCTCCTGACTGCTTATTAGGAAATTATTCTCCTTGTTTAATGCTAACTTCCTTCTGTTTGGGGTTCCTTGCTCAGAAGAGAGGTTGGACTGGTGGTTGTCCTTTGGGACAAGGATATCTTAAGAGCCCCAGTGGTCAGCCTGAGGTGGGTGCTGGTACTTTAGCTCTTCAGCAGTGTCCTTGACCCAGTGCTTGATCACACCCCACAGGGTCACTTCTCAGCACTTACCTAATGGTTCTTTTTCTCAGGTTTTTAATGTTTTTTTCTTCTTTGACTTTTATTTTATGCTAAGTTCCGTTTCTTTGCCTCCACTTTTAATTAATTACTTAGTCTTTATAAAGTTTTTTTTTTTTAAAGATTTTATTTATTTGATAGCGAGAGACACAGCAAGAGAGGGAACACAAGCAGGGGGAGCGGGAGAGGGAGAAGCAGGCTCCTCGCAGAGCAGGGAGCCCGATGCGGGGCTCGATCCCAGGACCCTGAGATCATGACCTGAGTCGAAGGCAGACGCTTAACGACTGAGCCACCCAGGCGCCCCTTAAAAAGTATTTTTAATTCAATTTTTTTTTTTTAAGTAAGCTCTACATCCATCG